GACGATGACAACGACCGTCCGTCAGGTGGCTACGGAGGTAGCTCAGGAGGTAACCATGGAAGCGGCTCAAGACGTGACGACGATAACGACCGCCCATCGGGAGGTTATGGAGGCAGCTCAGGAGGATATGGCGGATCAGGTAACCAGGGAGGCCAGCACTCTACTGGCACGTCCTACGGCGGAGGTGGTGGTCATGGTGGATCCTCCGACGACTTCTCTGGCGCAGCTCAGCATGCTGCATCTGAATATGGTAGCGGCGGCGACTCCAGCCTGTTTACCAGTGCTCTTGGTATGCTAGCTGGCAACAAGAACAGTTACCAGAATGAGAGTGTGGACGAAGATGATGCGGTCAAACAGCACGAGAAGTTCTATGGCAACGGTGGGAGCGGAGGTGGGCAAGCCAGCTCGAACAATGTTGGCGCTGCTGCCGCTATGCAGGCATTGAAGATGTTTAACAACAGCAGCAATGAGGATGCCAAGGGTGGACAGAACAAGTTCATCGGTATGGCCATGGGCCAGGCCGCCCAGCTGTTTGATAAGCAGCAGAGCCAGGGCAACACGGTAAGCACTGACTGCCCTGATTATCGAAACACGCACTGACAAAAGTAGGACCCTAGCGCTACCAAGCAGGACGCCATCGTCCAGGCAGGAAAGATGGCACTCCAGTTCTACATGAAGTCACAGATGGGTGGCGGCAGTGGCGGAAGTGGCGGCGGCTCTGGCAGCGCTCTTGGTGGTGTGTTGAACATGGCCAGTAAGTTCATGTCAAAGTAAAGTGATCAGAAGCTATTTTGCCCGACTCGTATAGAAATGCTACTGTAGCAATCAATGAGATCGTCTATTTTGTGTAATGGTACCTACACGGTGTATGGTGAGGCCGAAATCTAAAGACAGACTAAGATTGGTGAAAGCGACTGTGGTTTGGAGGGTTGGAATCAAGGAAATGCGATGGTCCGATGCGATGATCCGAGCCCATCCCTACGCCTAAGCTTCCTGTGACGCATTTGGAGACCGACCTCACACGCACCACCTTGCTCCACCGGTCTTATCGGCAGAAGGTATGGTCAGATATAGCGCACTGACTCTGCACCCATTGATCATAACTGATAACATTTCCTGGCTATTGATATTGTCTTTGTTACTACAGAACTTAGTACTTGGCAGACCTGATTCATGAGTGACCCTCCACCGCCTCGTGCTCCACCAATACCGCCTCTTAACATACCCTCAGCAGCCCTACATATCCACAGCTGTGCGCGGGATGAACAGCACCCAGACTCTGAGGTTGCCATACGCCATGAACGGCAGCGCGTTGCAAAAGAGCTAGAACCCGTAAGGCGCAAGAGAGCCGCAACACCAAGTGAAGCAAATACAGAGCATGACCCGAGAGATGAATTGAGCCGCTATGCCAGCACGCAAGCAGATGATGTACCTCAAGAGATGGAAGACCACAATGCAACAACACCGTGTAAGACGCGATTCTACGACCCAATCGCCAAGTTCTGGCGTACACAGATAAGTCTTGTCATGGAAGAAGGATCGCTTAGAGACCACCTGGGTAAGTACTACGTCTCCTTTCATTCATTGTCATCCCCCCCCCAAAAAAAACACTTGCCTCGAACATACGCGACTAACAAGATGACCCTCCCTGCGCAAAAGCACTCGAGCGCACTTTCCTCGGCTACCTGCGTACCTCGCTTCTCCTCGTAGTAACGGGTGTGATTATCGCACAGCTGTTCCGGCTACAGCATAGTCCGCATCCACAGCCTCATTTTGGGTTCTACAAGATCGGGAAGCCGTTGTCGGCCACATTTATTTGCATGGGCATCGTGGTTGTGCTGGTTGGAGCGATACGGTTCTGGAGATTGCAGAATGCGTTGATGAGGGGCAAGGCTATAGCTGCGGGGTGGGAGGTTAATGTGGTGATGGGGTTGGTTGGGTCGTTGATGTTGGGGACGTTTGGGCTTATTTTGGGAGTTGATATTGACAAGATGTATTTTGGAGGGTGATTTGGGGGAGTTCTCATACTTTACTAGTACTATTGTCAGGACAAATGAAAAGAAAAAAAGGCACCAGTCGGAATATCCAGAAAATAAAATGGTATTGGAGCTATCAACGCAACCCGAGTCTGGAGCTACGAGATTTTTCTCTAACCATGGCGCAAATCAAGCCAAACGCCCATCTAGCGCCATGCCGCGTGATATCGATATTACAAACTGTATAAAGCGAAGATAAAAAGAATAGAATAACGCCATCCTTGACCCACCCATATTTGTGCGTGCTACATGCCATGCAATCATTTCGTGAACGTCGTCAAGCCCTTAGACGCGAATGCCTGTGCCAGAGCCCCATCTCAGCTTCCTCAAACCCAAACCGGTGCCCTTCATGCCAGATACAGCCTCCTTGCCACAACGTCCAGCGTCTACTCCTGCAGCACCAACCTGGCCAATAGCCTCTGCGTGGCCTGCTTCTTTGCCAGCAACATAGCCTGCCGAGAAGCCAATAGCACTCACGAGGACTACAACGCCAGCACTGACAACCCAAGTGAGCAGTGTTGGGCTAATCTCCTCGATAAGCGGGCCGGACTTGCGCACCTTTCTGATTGCGCGGCGGTCCTTGCTGCCACTTCGTGCGGCTGCCATGGGTGGGTTTGCTTTTCGCTTGGGCTTCTCGGAGGGGCTGCTGCTGGTACTGCGTGGGGAGGAGGTAGACTCCTCGGATATGTTGCCCAAAGCGACAGACTCAGGTACCATCCGGAGCGACGTCGGATCGATTCGAGTGGACGATGGCGGGGCTGTACGTGGCTGTCCTGGCTTGGGTAGCCCTCGCACTGCTGCTGCTGCGGACAACAAAGTCGATAGGCTGGCGCGCAGAGCTTCGTCGTGGTCGGGTTGATAGTTGGGAGCTACGGCGTTGAAGGGAGTGTGCTGAGGATAAGACTGTTGCCGCTGCCCAGTTGGCCTCACAGCTCTACGAGGTGTGTACAGTGTGCCAGAGTGTGATCGGATGGCTTGTTGTGCGTTCGGACGTGAGAAGGCGTTTGGTCGCGGCTGAAACTCGCGTCGTGTAGAACGTGGATAGTTGACGGCAGTTGCGTTCTCGTCATCGTCTTCTCTGTCCGACAGGGTTTCTGAAGATGCCACCGACAGTGGGCTTCGGGACGAAGGGTCATGTCTCAGTGGGGATAGACCAAGGGCCTCATTTGAAGACGTCATGACGCGGTCCGACTCGCTCTCGCTCTCTTCATACTCCTCCTGGCTGCTGTTTCCCCCTGCGGCTGTAACTCTGTGTCCGGTTCCTATGGAGAACTGGCCACCGCCTCGTGAGCGCCTGTTCTGCCGCCTGTGTAGTGTTGAGTCGTGCTGTACCGTGAGACCAGTCGTGATGATCTCGTCAGTAGCAGAACACAAAGAGGTCGACGAGGGCCCTGATGCGATATCGATCCATGACTCTGTACACTTGATATAAGCTCATGCTTGGATACACTGATATGGAAGGGGCAGGGCAGAGAAGGCGTCAAGAATACAGGCAAGTATAGAGATGAACGTACCATCTGAGGGCCTGGATAGCGACGCAACTGGTCGTGAAGAAGCCATGGTTTGTTCTGGACGATGCGCCTCTTCAACACTTGCAAACTGGCGGCCTGGTCGCTGTGGCCGATGGTCGTGCATGGCACCCTTTGAGCTTCAAGGATTCGAGTAGTAACCGGTGTCCGGATACGTCTTTATAAGCTTGGACCCTATCTCTACAGGTGGGGAGATATGCGCTCCAGTGGGCCCCAAGGGCCGTGCCGACTTCGGTTCTTTGTTCGGACTCGGGGTATCGAAGCGCAGTAGACCTAGGACGGCGGTAGGCAAGGGCGACTGCGAAACAGCAGACCACGGTATGGAGCTACACAAAACTGAGGCTCCAGAGGTCTCGGGGCTGTGCCGTCGAGTCACTACGGCGGCAGCAGGAGATAAGCCTGGAGTTATGAGCGCGCTGACGCTACCTGTACTGTTTCCCCAGCTTGCGCACGGCCTGAAAGGGGGAACGTGGGTTGTGGTTGTCGCGTTGGGCGGGGCCTAAAAGAAACGCAACCAAAACGAAGGTTGGACGTGGGCTCAATGGGGCTTCAACCTGAGGAGAGGAAAGTAGTAGAGATGGAGTCGGAGAAGGCAGTCGGCTGCTCGTCCCTGGCCCCGTGTCCCGTGTGCTGGCGTATGACCATTGGCAATGGGACGTGGGAGATGGACGAATCAGGCGCCGCTCATCAACCTACCCCTTTGGAGTCGTGGGATCTGTGCATGCTCACCTGCCTGCATACGGGACATGTGCATGTACATTTCGAGCTCGTCTGCCACTGGACTGACGTTTTTTGAGACAGCCATGCAAGCCTGTAGTCCTTTGCTCGGTGAGCGACTCAGTAACTTTCCTATCATTGCACCAAGGTGCTTTCTCCAGACTTGCTCGTCAGACGCCATCAATCACGTCATCATGCTGCAAAAGTCACGAGATATGCAGTGTGTGGACTCGATGTCGACAACTTGCTTCTATTTTGCAGGGTTTCCAAACAAGCAGACATGCTGCAGAGGACTAGGGTACCTAGATAACCTCGACGACCAATACCATCGCCCCAACAAGCCCTGGGGATAGCGGGGGCTTCCGTGCGGAGAAGCTGGTCAAAGGATGACAATGATTTGAATTCGAGGCAACGTTTGGACCCAAGAAATAACATTTGTAGAAATGACAACGCCACATTCCGTCCGGCTGCCCACCTAATTCCCAAATAGTCAGCCTTGTAGGGGTATAGGTGCATGACGCCAACTCCGGCATTATGTATGCTGAGAGTATGCAGCTCCAAGGGCTGTGCATTCCCGTCCGCGCATCAGTATTATTGTAAACCCATAAGCCGAATCCTGGCTTCCACCAAAATGCGAGAAATGTCAGAAATACACTCGATACCGCCTCGGATACATCGTTGATTGCCATTTAGTTCTTCTTCTCTTCTTTCTTTCCATCCTTCTTCCCGTCCTTCTTCGACTTGCTCTTGAAGAAGCCCGAGAGGCCGTCCTTGAACTTCTCCCATGGTGTTCTGTTGAGGTGGTTGCTAAGCTCGCGGTATTTGTACATTTCAGCCCAGCAGTCGCGACCCCACTCACAGCCAGCCATGTTGACTAGGAAGTCGCGGTCCTTCTCTTGGTAATGGATGTCCGGGTTGTCGCCCTGATCACCGCAGGCACCTGGCGGGAAACTCATGATTTGACGTTGCTGGATGAACGCAACGTGGGGCCGGATCCAAGGCTGGTTTTGGTACATGTGCTCGAATGCATCCTGTTCCTTGTGCTCCCATTGCATGTGTTTCTGCTCGTATCCAACGGGATCCCACCAGATATCAAGCAACCTGTCCGTCCAGACGCTTCTCCGCACCATGAACGAGCCCAAATTGAAACCACCGCAATCTTGAGGCACCAGCATGTTCACAGAATCGACTCTGCCGTCTCCCACCGGCGAGCGTGTTTCGGGATCGAGGTATTCGTCTGTCAAAGGATGTGTAATGTTGAGAGGGTTGTAAATGTTGATATCGCGGTACGTGACGTCTTGCAGCTGCTTGAAAACGTGCTTCTGCAGGGAGTAGGTTGGTTCCATGATGAATGTGTTCGTGTCGAGCCACCAGAACCTGTGCTGTGTGAGCGTTGGTTGCAGCGTCGATTGCAGCATACTTACCATTCAGCGTGCGGGTATTTGCGCATAGCATTGCGGATCGTGTCCACCTTCTCCCAGCTCTCCCTCCACTCGTGTGCGTAGCGCTTCTTCGTGCTCATGTCAACAATCTCCAATTCGTAGCCCCAGTTCCTGGTATACTTTTTCTTATTCTTAACGCTGTCACGCTCAATGGCCCATTCACGGGGACCCTTCCATTCCATCACACCTCCACCTTGATTTGCAGCCAAGATGACGACATATTTACTGCCGCCACCGAACCATGCTGAGCGTCTGTATGCTCGACGTATGGCTACGGGCGTCAGTACCAATGGACGGAATAGAGGATCAAGTGCTTAGACTTACGTGTGTTGAAATTCCAAAAGAAAAGAAGAAACGTAACCAAAAACAAGACCATGACTCGTTTCCGCAGGCGCCACAGATTCCAAACTATGCCATTGAGAGCCCGTGTGAACTTGTTGCCCTGAGACCGTCCTCGGCCAAGCTTTTCCTTGTCGCTATGATTGAAGGGCAGACTCGTAGATATCTTGCGAAAGTGCTTGCCAAAGAAACCTTGGCCTCTAGGAGTGAAAGCAGGGTAGCCTTTGACCTCAGCACTCCGGGCCTGAGCCGATGCCCAAGTGACATTGTGTGAGGAGGAGCCATTGGGGTATGGACTGCTCTGCCCGCTGTTATCGTAAGGCGTGTTCAAGCCTGGACTCGACCACCCTCCGGGCTGGGGCGAGGAGGACCTAGACATGTCCGCGATACCTGGGGTACTGGGTATTGTGGGCAGGCCTTCACCCAGGGAGCGGCCCGAGAGACCGCTCGTTGTGCCGAGCCTACTTCGCGATTCGATGATATCGGGGAGGGTGATGTTGGATGGCGCCTGCCTTGCAGCCGATGAGCGCCTTCTCCGTTGGCCAGAGGAAGTAGAGAAGGAGGATTGGGAAGCCAGCGTGACGTTGTCTGCGTCTGTAGGCTGGGTGGGTTATGGAAAGGCGCACCTGCGCGGGTGGCTGTGACCGCGAGCCGGTGAGGTAGGATCACAGGTGGTGTTTGGGGGTGGGTCTTTTGGTATTATAGGACAGCTGGCGGGTGTGGTCAAAAGGCGTAAGTAAAGCGATAGCGCGACGAATTGTTCAATGGAGGCTGTCGTCGGTCGCAATTAACAAAAGAGGGACAGGAGGTATCTGACTCCAAGGGAGAAGATTGGGCGACGGTGGGAAAGGAGATTCTCGCGATAACCAAATTGCTGTCGAGTTCGCCGCTTGGCGTATACGTGAAAGGAGGGCCGCTAATTAGGCTAGACCTCCCCACTTCGCATTGCGCAGGTTGCTGTCTACCGCTCTACGCTGTCCCACAGCGACACTCGGGGGATGGACGAGAAACCGATGGGCTGGGTGGCGGTGTGCAGAGGGTGAAGAAAAGAAGCAGGGGACCTGATAGTCCAGTCGTACCGTTTGGTGCGGCACAGCGATAATTATACGTTAGTATGTCGGTACATAGTTACAGATTTGCATGGTTGCAGGGGACGGTCAATCGGCATACGGACATTGCGACATGGGCCGTCATGAGCCGCAGGACGTTTTTTTCGGTCCCAGGGAGTGAGCTTTACGGTTCCCACAGGCTCATAGCGCGTTGCACAACTGCTGTCTGCACTTTGACAGCGCATTCCGAATGCCAGACGCCTTGTCGATGCCGGCACGTGACTCGGAAAATATTTACCGCGTGCACTACTTGCCTCGTGGGGGCATGGGCATGGTGCGCCACAGGGACGAACTGCCATGTCCATCCGATAGGAGGACATTCATATGTATACTAACTACTTAGGTATGTAAGCGGCTCGTGAACAGGTGGCTTCACCAAGTCCTGCCAGGCAGAACCCAGCGAGCGGACACCCGATCCGGATCCAGCACGCAATATGTTGCCGTTTGCGTATGCTGCGAGTAGCATGCTGTTGAGAAAAAAGCATGCCAGGCTCCATGGAGACTTTGTAGCGAGCAAACCTTGCCCACCAAAAACCTTCCCGGTCGGGCGCATCCAGACGGGCCCCGGACAGCACTGTAAACTAGCGTCTCTTGGCGGCGCCTTCCTCACCAACCGTTGGGCGCTGTCATGGCTGGCCTGGCGCTTCCATTACCATGTCCTGTCGTCTGACTGGCTCTTGTCCATATTTTGCTGGACACGACGTCGAAGCTACACATCTGGAGCGTCTCAGATCTCGCATAGAGTTGTACATTTCCACACCAGCGAATCCAGGGCGGCTACGGAGCCTCAAGCCCGCAAACATGGCGCTCGTTATGAAGCAGCTCCACCTGATGGCTCCAATCACCTTCACCCGGTGCCTGTGGACAATGCCTACTCCCACCGACGAGCTTTGACTCAGGGAGACGTGGCGGGCGCCTCTGCCACATCATAGGCCAGAAGGGACATCCAAGCAGAAGAGCTATACATATTAAGCCATGGCAGTGGTTTGCCAGGTCCGTTAAAGTCGGCCAAAAGATCTGGGGTCGCGTGTCTGTATGACAGCCTCACACATCTCCTTTTTCTGCGTGCTTTCACTTTCTCCATTGCCTCTTTGCCGCTTTCTTTTCATCACCTGTCGCCGCTTTGTGTGATTTCATTCGTTTTCGTTGTTCTGCAGTCGCTGTCGCCAGACAATAGCAGTGACAATACCAACGTCATTAATCATCCCAGTTCCCGTTTGAAAAAGCATTCGTTGACAACCATTCACTCCTACTACCTCTTTGAGATCTGGCTTTCCACATCGATTCAGGATACCGACACACGACTCCAACATGACTTCATATGGCCAGCCGCCACTAAGACCCCTACCTCGATCAACCGATAATACTAGGCGCCCGTTTGAAAGCGAACAATACACAGACGACTCATACCTAAACCGAGCAGATGGAGAGGAACAGATATTAGTACATTTCCATGATGGGTTTGATGGAAACGCAACACCTGAGCAACAGAGCTGGGACATGGAGTCTAATGCTAGAGCACAGCGGACCATCACAAAGCGCAGCTCACGGTCCTTTTCAGGGCGTGCTTCACGACACAGATCTCGACGGAGAGAGCTACTGGGTCGACCCAGCAAGCCGGGCATCACTGTCGACACAAGTTTTACCAGGCACAGAGGTTCGGAACCACACCAGGTGTTTCCACAAGAATCGGAGAGAGGCAGTGGCTCTATCCGCAAGTCACCGTGGTTTGGCCTGAACAGGAATTCAACCAGACACAAAGGCCTTGGAATCACCAAGGGTACACCGCAACCAGAACACATGGATCGGAAGAGGCGGAGCATAGATCGGAACGAAATCGACACTGCTACGTCCATGACTCCTAGCACCAAGTCCTGGCAAGAAATTTCACCTTGGGACAGACGAATTCCGATAGGAATCTCAGTTCCTACTGACAGTATATCCGACTTTAGCTCCCTACAAGCAAATCGGCCTCGTGCTGGGAGCGACACTACTCTGGTCACACCAAGTATCATCATTACCCCTGCGGAAGTGAAGTCGGCCTGGTCACCCGACACACCCTTCACAGAGTCGGACTATACACCCAGCATCTATTCTCGCTATCAAACAGCTTTCGACAGGTCCAACGTCCCACCAGTCCCTGCTCTTCCTGCTGGAATGGCTCAACGTCCAGGGCAAGTTTCCAACAATGACATGCACGGCTCATCTGGCCACGCTAGAAACGACACATTGGATTCCGCTGGAACTGCGTTCGAAGAAGATGACGATTCCAAACGAAAAGATCGCGTCATGTCCACCAGCACCGTCTTTGAGGAGGACGAAACACCACTAAGTGCCAGAGCTGCCGAAAACTCGTTGGCCATTGACACATCAATGGTACCTACTCTTCGAAGGTCGCAAGGGTGGTGGACCGTCATCACAACACCATTTGTTGCAACGCCTAAATCGTCAACATGGCCAGATGCTGGACGCAATGGGGATAGTACGCCAGACGTCCCGACTGTACCCATCCGGTATGGCATGGGTAAAGTAGAAGCCCCCATGTCACCCCCTTCGCAAACCAACACGCCGGCAGCTTCAGCAGCCAACGTCTCAGTGAAGTCTGATCCTGAAAAGGCAATGAACTATCAAACACCTCCAGATTCTCACCGCGCTATCACCTCTCCTCTATCTGCAATGTCTGCCTCACCGGTGCTAGGTACAGCAGCCATCGGAACTGTCTTGATGCCTCGTCAGGTTGAGGAGCCACGCCACATTAATGTCAACATTGAATTGCAAGATAGGCGGCCGCCGGTGGAGAGCCAGCCAGTAAGGGCAAACTATCCACCGCCTGTACAGCAGATGCACACATCAATAGCAGCACCACAAGTCATGATTGCAACCTCTTCTGCCACAAACGCCAACAGTTCCTCACAGAGCCTGCCAGTGTTCGCCCCACCTCCAAAGGCGGCTCAAAAAGGCTCACATTGGAGCTATGACAACGGCAGTCGTTCTGGTTCCCGAGCATCTTCTCCAGATCTCAAGGGACGGAAGAAACATCGAAAAGTGTGCGATATGACAAGCATGTGGCCATTCGGAAAGAAGCAAAACCAAATTCCTCAAGACGGAGTTCAAGAGAAGAAAAATAAGAGAGGAGTGTGTTTCTGGGGATGCTGCTGTTGTTTGATATTTTTCATCTTGTTGGCAATCATTATTCCACTTGCCGTGGTGTTGACGAGGAAAAGCGATGACAATAAGCCCATCGCGACCGAACCGAAGCCAGACGGCGGCAACCAATGGCTTAACCTACCAGATTACCCTCCTGTACCTACCGGCCTGCTAACTATTGCGCAACCTGAAGTGGTAGAGGAGGAGAGTGGTTGTGTCGCACCTACCACACTGTGGAGCTGTGCGCTGCCAAAGGAACTCCAGCAATCTGTTGCGCCAAACAAACCGGACCAGCCCAACTTTAAGATTGAAATCACGTTTGAGAACGGCAGTGCTGCAGAGCTGCCGCAGTCTCGACGTGCCAAAAGGGCCTCAAACCCAGTCTCAGCCGGCGCTTTGGTCCGGTCACTGCTTCACGCTCGCGCTGCGCCCTCACCATCCCCTGCACCTCCATCAACCGACGACATGAACTTCTTGGGGAAGACGACAGATGGTAACTCGGCTCCTTTTGAAGGCGAAGAGACTGGCTTGTTCATCACCATGAGCGACCCGTCGACCAATACATCGAAACTGGCGAAGCGTGCCAATGCAAACGACCCTACAAACATCACTGCCGTGATACCTCCGCCAATGTTGGCTTCTGACGGGACTGCAGCGCCTGCAAACCTGCTTCCCTCGCTTTCTGCACAGCCCCTGCGACTGTACAATCGAGGCAAAGAAGACGAGCATTACGGATTCTACAACTACTTTGATCGATCAATCTTCCTGAAGCAGATCAACGGCACCAATCGTGGTGGAAACCCGGCAGACACGGATGGAGGGAGTTCCAAGGATGCTGCTAAGCTAAGATGCACATACTCACAGACGCGGTTTTTGGTACAGATATGGACTCGCAGCAAAGAAAGCAAGCCATTGTTACAAAAGTCTGCTTCTGGGAGTACAGATGCATTTAAGAGACCAGGCACCTTCCCGTATCCAGTCACTGTCACCATTGATCGCCACGGTGGAGATCCTGCCAAGAAAAACCTCTACTGCTATGAAATGGAGGATGACGGCACGATCAAGAACGAAGAGTCCAAAAAGTCATTCCAGTTTGAAGATCGAGCATTTGGGGGCACTCTGGTCAAGGGCACCCAGGGGCAAGGGAATGTCAGCGGGTCCATTGATGGTGGCACTGGTGGTTGTCGTTGCCAATGGCAGAACTGGCTCAACTAAGCCCCGCAAAGCCTGCAATTTTCTCTCCTGTTTTCTCGTGTCGAAATAACTTTCTGTTTCATTTAAGGTTTTGCATAGCGTTCGGCCTTGTTTTTTTTTGCCTTCTCGGATGGATGTTTCCGTCTTGACGCATAACTCTCACTGTCTTGGTCATCTTCATGACGTTTCCATCAGCAGCATGTCAGGAACATGAATAAGCAAATTATTAATACTCAACAACTGGATTTGACGCGGCTTTGAAGGCCGCCTTAGTCTAGATGTACCCTTAATATCAGTCAGTATCAAAAATGCAATATTATAGACCTCGTTTCGAAGTGGGAAATGAATCGTGACTGTCGCGAGAGAGCTGGAGTGGCATGTCAGGACCCGCTCAGGATACAGTTGCTCCACAGTGACTGGACCGTTTTTCGTGGGGCGGCGGACACAATCCATGTACCGCCCGTAGTTACCGTGACCCGAATACAGGGTGCAATGGTCCAAGGGGATGGAATTCAAACGCCGTCCATGGGTCCAGTGGAACAGTGGAACAGTGGCCAATTGTCGAGACCCTGTGAGAATCCATTCAGGATTGTGGCAAGAGGAAATGTCCTCACTCTGATACCAGAGAAGCACATGTCGTACTACAGTACGATCTGGCAGAGGCCCGTTTGAATATACATACTACGTAGTAAGTGTGTATGTGTGTATGGAGGAGGATTCGTTGGCTTGGCACCAAGACACCGGAAGCAGGCGGGACGATGTCACTCTGCACCGTTACTGAAGTTGATGGCTGCGACGACAGCGGCGGCCCCAAGATGCTGGAGTAGGCGTAGGCGCGAGGACAAGGGTGGATACGAAGTGTGGTAGGAGCACTAAGCAGCGCTGCACGGACTCTGCTTGGCGAAGAGCCTCGGACTTCCCCACAGCCATTGAACTCAACACGCGCTCTGCATGGCGCCTGTGATTGGCTCTTGTGCATCTCCCATTCTTCAGAACATCTCCGCTGCCTCGACTGCCCAGCACAACGACATGACAAGACCGCGTCAGCGGCGTAAGACGTCTGGCAGGGTGGGCAATGCCATGCCCTCGACTATTTGCTTGGTGTGCTTGTCAACAGCCACTCCGGAGGCTTGTCGCTCGACGTCATCAGTCGTCGGTCCCAAATGCGCGAACACTGCGGTAGCATTTAGATCTGGGGATGAGCACGACATACAGGGTCCTCCTAGGACGTGGATATTGAGAAACGGGGCACACGGCTGCGGGCGTGCATTCGCTCCATATTTTGCTTTGCTCGACGGCCCAATGACAGCTGTCTGTCTGCGGAAAAAGGACTGGGATTGACTGTCGCGTGAGGTCCTTCCGGACCTGGTGGGTCTGCGGAATGGTAGCATTCTCGCCTTCGACTAGCCTTCATTGGAAGCGACAGCATTAACATTAAGAATTTTCTTCGCCTACTGGACCCTTTATAAGCTCTACTTGGAGCTCCTGTAGCTATGTGCAGCTTTGTTTTATCGCGTTCGCGCACATATTGCGCGCTCCTGCCCTCTTGTCTCCGCCCCGTCCACGCCCTGGAGAATCTTTTTCAAAACGT